CCCCCCCCCCCCCCCTCCATAACTTTTGTTTCTATCCGTTCGGTCTTATATTTTCTCCTATACCAAAAGACTGTTTTTTGTGTCCTCGTGCTTCTCTCTGCTCAAACTCAAACACATGTTCTGGTGTGTAGTTCCCTTCGTGATTGAAATCTGCGTCATTGTCCTCTTTTCCCCAGAGAAATAATCATGGACTCCCCTAGTCGCATTAATTCCCGGTATGTTTTGTGGCTTGATTAGATTTATATAAGCCGGGTGTCATAATCCGGGTACCACGGAAGTTATGTTTATTACTTTGGAGTTATTTTGGTGATATTCTGCCTCGAGAGAAAGTCCACAACGGTGATTAGACTCAAACGTAACGTGTGTAGAAGAATGAAGACCCAGAAGTCACTGTGTGCCATTTTTCTGTTGCTTCGCCGTTTTTACTCAGGGGTCTTGATGAGAAGACATTCGCTGTGTGTAGTTGTTGGGGGGAGGGGGGGGGGCACATGTTATTCTCTGGGCATCCTTGTGTTCATGGTCGTTGTTGAAATCTCCAACGGACGCTCTCAGAGACTGTTGCAGAAGTCCATAGGCGTAGTCTCTGTCTTGCCCGATTTCTATGAGTCACCCCCCCCTCTTTTTTTAAATGTCAAAATAGAGTGCATAAACAGAGAGATATTTCTATTTCAAAAAATGTTTTTAACTTCAAGCATTCCGACTTTTCAAAGTAAAAACCAAGCCGTGCTGTGAATAACGTGAAAACAACCATCTTGAGTCCCGCGCGGTCAAATGACCTTATAGAGTTGGGAGCACCGTAAAACTGCCCCAAAGTTATTTTTATATGAAAAAAATATTAATAGATCAAGTGAACAAAGAGGTAAAAAAAATAGTGTTATATCATGCATTATATTACTATGGTCTGCCGCAACTGCACACTCACCACCACTGAGCCTTATGGTGAGACATGGAGAAACATCAGTCCGGTGATCGCTCTGTTAGCGACAGATTGCTGGCAACTTAGACAGTTAATTGTCTTTCCGTGCCGGCCATTCATTATGAACGAAGTGCGCGACGTTGGAAACCGCGGTGCTGCATGAGGTGCATGTAGCTTACATTGCTGGGGGTAGGACCCATTTGCCCAGTGTCGACCGTCGTGCCGCGTGAATAATAGATGTTAGTTCAGCACTCGGTTGCTTCCGTCAAGAATTGGAGGAGTTGTTTCGTTTGACACTCTCACCGTTTTGTTATTCTGAGTCTGATCCTAACTTGTCTGCAGTTTGTCTGTGATGTCAAGTTGCGGGTCTGGTTGGTGGATGTTCTGCTTTATTCCTTGGTAAAGAGGGGGGTTTATGTAAATGAGCTTCTAAAATGGCCTTCGTGCACGCAAGTCCTGTTGTCTATCAGGCTGGCTTTGCGTTAAAATGAATTTTATTGTTCTTTTTATTGTTTTTTAAAATTTGTTTTAATATTTTTCAAAAGAGCCTTTTCATTAATTATTTAATTTGTCTTTCTTGTGCATCTTCTCGTTGTTCTACGTTTTTGTTTTGTGTGGAACTTTACTTTTGTTTTAGCGGTGGGCGATAAGAAGTCGTTGACCGTTCTGCTGGAGAGTCGGCAAGATTCTTTCAGTTAGCATTCTCGCTAGTCTGAACTGACTCTTCTCACTCCTATCCTCCCAGAATGCTTTTGATGTGATTGCTGATGTAGGAAGTCTTCTCGGCCTGTTCATCGGCGTCTGTGTTGTAGTGGTTAGGAGCTTCGCTGGTGCACGCAGGAGACCTTAGTTCGATTCGGG